CATCACTTATGTTGAGCATGGTAAACAGTAATTTTAGTTTATACATGCATGCTTTCCATCAATAAAAATAAAATAGCTTTGATAGAATCAGTTAATTCATTGGATTTAAAAAAAAATGAAAATATATTAATACTAATGCATACAGTCATCATGGCACACATTTCAGTAGGTAGTAAATTCTAACACCTATAATAGATGTCACATCACTGGCCTTGTCTTTGTTTCATCTTGCAGTTCTGAGAAAGCGGTTGGCAGCTATTTTCAGTGCTTGTATACTGTCAAAGCGCTGCCCAAATGACTGCCATCACCAAAATAAGAAGGTGATCAGTCTAGCACTGCAGAATCAGCTATATTCATTATCAAAAACATTTGTGCAGTATGAGATCTGTAGTTCACCAATTTTTCACTGAAATTTCTTAGATATACTTTTAATATTGAGATGTTGTTTTCCCCCTGTTGTAGATGCTGTGGGTGTATGGTGTTAACATGTTCTTCAGTGCATTGTCAATATTCCATCTGACATATCTGGGATCACTGTTTGACTCTGAAATGGACAACATGCATGCTGAGGAAGTGAGCATTTTCATATGCACATGCAATTTAAACATATACAGTTTTATTGTAATATAAATAGTCTACTTCTAAAAAAAAAATTCAATTCAATTAGTTAGAATTGCTTTATCACACAGTATTTTGTTTCCACACAGGGTTACATGGCCAGTCACACCATTCAAAAGTGGTCAGAGCTAAACTGGGCGAGCCATTGGGTGATGCTGGGCTGTTTTGTGTTTTATTGGCTCATTTAAGGAGAATACTATAGTACTGAGCAATCAAAGGACCATTCACTAAACCTGAACATGAAAGATGGTGGATTCTTACCATAGACTGCATTTTTCAACAGTCAGTGTTACATCCACACTTCTGTCCCTCAGCTGGAAAAGACTGCCATGGCAAGTGCCTTTTGATTCATGTTGTTACAAGAATCATATTCTCATAATGTGATCATACTTGTTCTTTTTATTTTGATTTACATTAGGTACAATTTTGGATTAAACAAAAGAAAACATATCAGTGTGCAGAGTACATTGTGTTATTTGCATCTCTCTTTTTTGTTCTCTCTGTACAGCTTGATATACAGTAGAAAGCACTGCCTCTTTCATTGTGACCATGTTACTGTTACCTTTTTAAGACCTGCTTGAAACTGTAAACATGTTTCATATTTTTATCAAAAGCTATTGATTAAGTCTGACAATAATATTTATTATTTTCTAATAAAATTGGCCACCAAGACTATTTTTCACGAATTATAGGTAAGTGCATTACTCAAGGGCACAGATCATACTTTGTATTGTAACTTTGTTCTCTGATATTAGATGGGCACATTTTTTTCGAAAGACACTTATTACTTACGGTGATCAGCCATGTGGTAATACCATATTTTGATAAATGTACAGGTATTGTGGAAAACCATGGTTTTATGGGTACTAACAAGGTACATGTAAGAAAAATAGTACAAGCATAGTGTAATGACTCATGACAGTATCTAAAATAACATTTATCATGGTGGAAATATAGAGGGAAGTTAGCTGTACTTTACAGAGTAACGTAAATGAGTTACTTAATTGTGACCTCTGACCCAGTGGCGTGTCCCCCACAGTTTACATGGCACTGTTATAATATCGCGAGAGTTCGCATCGCTCCTCACTACGTAATGTGCCGTGCTGCTTATGGCGGCGCTGGTGACCGTGCTGAAAGCTGTTGGGGTGAGTTTTTCTTTTATATTTAATCAATTTTGTGATGCCACATAACTCTTACACGGCTATATGGACGTTTAAGCCTCCGACGTTTGCGTTTATACCACTCTCTTGAGTATTCCTGCTTGTTTTTGAACAGTTAAACGGTTTAGGGTGGGGGCAGTGTTTCCTCTGCGTGTGCTCTAGCGGTTTAGCATGTTAGCCAGCGCTTAAAGCACCGTTACTGGCGAAGAGTCGTTTTAAACAATAATAAACTAACTTATTAATCTGACACATCCGTCATGGGAGATATTTTGTAAAGGTCACTTATCAAGAAATGAAGCGCCTAGTCGAGGCTCCAGCGCGGCAGAGGCGGCCCAACGTGACCCGACAGCCGCCGCCGTGTGCCTTTGTTGTCGGGCTGAGTGATTTATTTTAAGCCCGGCTGGATCACTATCTATCCCGTTTTATCGACGCATAGTAAATTGAGCTAAACAACTAAACCCTGTTTTCTCAGGACAGGAAAATAGTTGACTTGCGTTCCAAACGAGTTCTTACTAAAAACCAGTTTTCCCATGGTCATAATAACCTGGAAATATCATGGAATTTGGAGATTATGGTAATTTTGCACGCTTGGGAAAGTACGTTATTTAAAATCAATAAAAGTAATTTAGTAGTGAATGCAAATGTTTCAGCTTAAACTCTGCTGCAGAATTTTCTCTCACAAAAGAAATTGCTTTTTGTAAGAGCAATTTTGGTAAAAAAAAGAAATAAAAAAATTTCCTACGAAAGCCATTTCCACGATTTTCCAGTTGAGATTGAACAACTGATGAAAATACTTTGGTCAAAACGGTCGTTTTCTCTCATTTGGATTTGAAACTCCCTAGATTCTACTTTAACCATTTGTTGGGATTCTTCCTTCCAGTACGTTTTCTAATATGCTCAGGAGAAGCATGTGTCGGAGTTGTCTGAAAAGGCATTGCTTGTGATGTTGTCTCTGGATGAGCTCCAGATGTTGCTCAAGCGCTGCTTGCGTCACTTAGTTTCATGTCCTCATATTGTCATTTATGTATGCTGTAGAAATCTGCAGTTTCGCTTTTTAACAAAGCGTAACTAGTGAACGAAGAACAGTGGTCTTAATATACTTTGCGGTTTGTGATTTGTATATTTGAGCAGCACGCGCTCGGGGGTGTCGACGTCAAGCGCTTAGGTCTATAAGCGTGTGCGCTGTAGGCGGGCTCAGATCTCTTGTTTTTCCACAGCTTTTCCTCTTCCGTTCATGTTATATATTTACAATAAGAAATGTTTTTATCCCATTTTCAATCGGTTAGTTTAGCCAGAGATGAAAATTCCATTACACTTTCATGGCAGTTTGTATTAACCGGTTTTCATTTTTGCGAATTAATTCATACTATCTCATTGACGGTTAGGATTAAGACCTTCATTCTGTTAAAAAATCTTTGATGTTACTAAATTCCATAAAACATACTATTGTCATAAATGTAACACATTTTTTGGTTGAATTATCCCTTTAATTCTCACTGAAACCATGAGGTTGTAAATAAGCAAGGCACACAATAAGTGCTCTCAAGGTTGATCTGGTACTGTTTGTTTTCTGACTTAGAGGTTATAGACAGAAGTTGTCCTGTTCTCCACTTTTATTTTATTTTTTTATTTTTTTGGAAGTCGACATGAACTGAAAATTCACCCTGTCTGTTTTTTTAAATGCAAATTATAGATCTAATTGAGAACAGTTTATCTGCCCCCACTTCTGGGTGCAACGCACATCTCCAAATCCAGTTAACAACCAAGTCCCCATCCTATTTTTTTTAATGTTACAATTGGATGTACAGCACAATGTGGAACAAAAATCTTGCGACTTGTGAAATGAAATTGGCTGGTTAGTAAGAGATTGTCTCCATCCATTTTAAGTCTGTGCTTGGTCCATCAGAGCAAGTAACGAACTGGCCTATATATTAAGCTTTTCGATCCTCCCATCTCATGTGTAATAGACCAGAGGGAACTGAATGATTGGCATGCTGGATATCTGCAGTTGTTGACCGCTTGAATTGAATATTCCATAAATACTCAGCCAACTGCTGGTTCACGCTGAGACTTGTTGATCCTCATGTGTGCGTTCAGTCAGCTGCTCTTCTGTGTGCGAGGCTGCTGAGGAAACTTTATTTTTAGGCCTGTGTATCAACAGGAGCGTAACATAGTGTTTTAACCCACAATAAATGAATGTGGCTAATGGGATTAATTGTTAACTCTTATATTGGTGTGTGTGTGTGTTAGGGCTGGACGATATGGCAAAAATTTATATCACGATATATTTCTTAATTTCCGTCGATACGATATAATTCCGATATCGATATGAACACTATTTTAAAAAAGCCTCGTGAAAACTGCCAAGAACGCCATAACAGATGTCTGTGCATACAAACTTATGAAAAATGAATTTGCCAAGTCTCTGACACCTCATATAAAACCATATAATATTTTAGAAAAAAAAACCCAGCACAAATAAATTAATGTTCAACTTTTATTTATATTTAGCCTTCATTCAAACAAGAAATGTGAAATTCTTTCAATCCTGCATTTTTTAAAATCCAAAATACAGCAACAACAGTAACATTTTGAAATATATTTTAATATGTAATTTATTCCTGTGATTTCAAAGCTATATTTTTAGCATAATTACTCCAGTCACATGATCCATTCTAATATTCTGATTTGCTGCTCAAAAATAATTTATTATGTTGTTGAAATTTAGAATTAAATATAATTTTTTCAGGTTTCTTTGATGAATAGAAAGTTCAGAAGAACAGCATTTATCTGAAATAGAAATCTTTTTTGTTTTCAAAATGTGAACATTGATATCTAGCACCACTTTAATTCACTCATTGTTTACTCAAGTACAGAACTTTAATTTGATGTAGCAGAAGGAAAATTTAACTTGATCAAGTTTGTGACCTCATGACGGAATTGTAGTTGCCCTTTAGCACGCTTTGCACTAGTCCAGATGTGTTTTCCTGAGAGAAAGGGTTCATAATTACTTAAGCCTGCTGAGAAGAATTTAGTAGTCCTTGACCCAACTTTGTGTGCAGATGAGGCACACTTGCATGTTGTCTGTAGGGTCCTCACCCCAACACACCCACAGCCCTCGACTGACCTTACTGTGCTGCTTTGTTCACTGGTTGTTCTTGTTGCCTCTCCCCCAATTTTTCACCACCCCTTCCCTCCTTTCTTCACCTTTGCAGAAATCCTGAGGTGTTTTGTTGGGTGTGTAACCAAAAGGAGAGGGGAGAGGGAAGGGAGGAACTGCAACACAACGGCTGACTTAAAAATAAAATCTTTACTCAGAACACTGCTTAATCCGATCAATCCCAGGTGTAGTAGATTTGGCCACTGTGTATGGGAGAATTATGGGTAGTCCCTGGAAAGGTTTTGTCGAGTTTACCTTGCCGGCGTCGCCACCTGCAGCGTTCGTTAGCGCTGACCTGAACAGCACCTCACCCGTCGGGCTCAGCCTGTCACCCTACGGCCAATCTGTAAGTGCCCTGCCATCCGCTCTCCACCCCACTGTCCCCCACTCTTACAAACTCGACTCGTTCATTAAACACCCACTGTCGCCCCTCTCTGAGCTGTTCCTTTACTCCATCATCCTGATCACCAGGCTTAGAGGCTGGCCTCGATCACTTGCCATAGGGACGAGCAGCAACGAGAGGTGGAGAGGCAAAGTAATGATATTTCCTCTATAGTAGCTAAGCGTAGATTTGTTTGTTCAGTCAGCTGCTGTTGAACCATGTGTGATTGGCAGTAAATGGATATTAGGCTTTGTTGTCTGGCGCTGAGTGAATCAAAGCATTTATGGGTGTGTAAAGGCCTGTATGTGTTTCGATGTAATGGCCTAGTGGTCGAGGCTGGTCAGAGTCTGTGTCATTAACCATTTGTTGTTATCGCGTAGTTTAGTAGTGCCATTCCCAGTCGTTTCATCAAACTAACACATTCTGATTTTCCTTGAGCATGTCTCCTAGCAAGGGTGGGGAATAATGGCGCTTTTCCACTGCATGGTATGGCTCGGTACGGTTCACTTTTGGGGGGTTTTCCACTGGGTACCTCGGTTGAGGTTCCAAGTGAACCGTACCTTTTTACCAAAACGTGACGTGTAAACCCTGCTTATCACGGATTGGCCGGAGAGAATCGTCACTACCTGCGTCACTGAACTTGCACCACAAACACAACAGAACCGCTAGATTTAAATCAGCACAGCCAGCGAAGGATCGAACGCAACTGTTTTGAATGAGCACACCTTTTTTTTAACAACCAAAAAGTGGCTGTTTCGTTGTCTGTTGAGGAAGTACAGACGTTCCTCTCGTTGATCGCAGAGGAGGGGATCCAGCGAGAGCTTGATGGGGCTACGCGGAATGAAAACGTTTTTCAGGAGTCGTGGCAGTAGAGGCGGCGCAACTATAATGACGTGAATAATCCCGCCCACTCTAAAGCGATACTAAACTGCAGTGGAAGCGCAAGCCGAGCCGTACCACACAGTGGAAAAGCACCATTAGAGTAAAAGGAATAGTTCACCCAAAAAAACCTTATGTGGAACAAAGATAATTTGAAGGGGGGTTTTTTTGTCCATACATTGTCGTCTTGTGTGTTCCTCAAAAGAGTCAATTTTATGGTTTGGAATGACAATTAAGATGAGTAAACAAAGACAGAACTTTCATTTTTGAGTGAACTATGTTTTAAGGCATGTTCACACTAAGTGTGTTCTGATAAAATTATTTGATTCACAGATGGTTGTTTGCAAATGAAGCATTCCAGTCATTCACATGCTTTAATTCAAAATGCAAAACACATTTCACAATTTATTCCAACCCATCACTTAAATGTAAGATTCAACTTGAGTAGAGCAGTAAAAGTTAAATGATGTGATGCACTGACATTGGAATGTACCACAGTGTAAAGATAATATTGGTGAACTGTAGAAATAGTACAGCTGTTGTAATGGATATGGTCATTTGTTGGTTGAGTATATTGACTTTCCCATGTGTCATTTACTTTAATCGTTCTATGGATGCTTTTATTCAAAGAAAATGCAAGCATACTTGCCATATCACTACTTTTAGACTTACTTAGCCAGAATTGTTTGTTGCTTTTATGGCTTTTAATGTTCCTGTAAATTAGCTGCCAGACGTTTTTAAAAAAATTGTCAATTCTGGACATTTGACCCAGAGGCACACATCTGATTGGTTTAGGGTTTTCATAGTTTCTATTGTTTAGATTTCTTCCTGGAAGCTCTTCTTTCGCATTTCAAATTACATATTCCCAGCTACCTGCTAGTAATTACTAGAACCTTAACGAAAGGCATAAGAAGTGTGTTTTGGTCAGTCTGCTCTTTTATTTATTTATTTATTTTTTACCCCATGTAGATCATCATAGTGGTGTGATGGCCTCTTTGACATGTTTCATTTCTTGCAGTGAGGTTTTTTTTTTATATATATATATATTTTTTTTAACAGAATTGAACTTCTCAGAAGGGTTGTTTTTGATGCCATCTCTTGGTTCTTCCTGTTTGGTGATCCTTCATTTAGGTAGTGTTTTTATTTTGTTTAAATATCCACTCCTCCCCTTATTGCCTTCAGTGTCCTACCACCCCTTACCTTCACCTGAAGATGGAGGCCTCTGATACCCCTGTTGCTGCCCCCACCCCTTCCACCTCAAGCCAGTCAATCCCCCGCTCCGCTTCAGTCTCATGCCATGTCTCTCGTGCATCAGGGGGCAAAAAGCAAAAGCGGACCCCCTTATATCAGCGATCCGTAAGTGGGCATGATGGGACAGTCTGTGCCGGCTTGATGTCCTCACTGGCAAAGAATACTTGACACTGTATCCGCATGCTTTAAGTTAGGAGTTGTAAAGCTTTTGACTATACAGGGGTTTTTGGGTCAATAAAATCTGTTTTCGATTGTCTAACTTTTGACCGCATGCTTGCCCAACCGTTCACGTACAGTTCACTTAATTTATGGGTGAAGTTCTACACAAAGACTTAAGTTTTAACTTTGTGTTGACGATTTTGTTTGCGTGTATACTCTAATATATAACTAAGTCAGTGTGAAGTGGATTAAAAGCATGAATTTCAATTTTACTTTCTAGGTTTAATATGAAACCGATAATACTTGCATTTGTTTTCTTGGGTATTGTGCAGATACAGCAGATTTATCCTGGTCATTTGGATCTACTTGATCAGGCAACTAGTTTAAGCTGACCAAAGGGAGAAGAGAAACTTAAACATACATGCCACAACAAATTACTGGGACAGTGTTCCCCTTTAAATTGTTCTTTTTCGTAGTTGCAGATACTTGCAGTATTTAAAATCCTATTTCATCCCATTTTACCATTTCCCACACTTGTGTTCTGATCTGTTGTGAAGCAGTCGGATGTGTGGAGAATGCTAAAGTTCGAAAACTGAGCAAGTGTATTTTTAACTCATCCTATGTCTTATTTTCCCATAGATGAGTTTTGACCCCAGTCTGCTGCATAATAATGGTCATGGTGGCTTTGCCAATGGAACGGGCATGGGAATTCGTGAGACGGGAGTGGTTGAAAAGCTGCTAGCATCATATGGCTTCATTCAGTGCTCTGAGAGACAGGCCCGCCTCTTCTTTCACTGCTCTCAGTACAACGGCAACCTGCAAGAGCTAAAGATCGGAGGTATGAGCCAAATGAGGTGGGGGAAATAGCAGGAACTAGGGCTGAATAGTGTAACTAAAAAAATTACGTATTTAGCCTTTTGATGATAACCTTTTTGGTCTAGCTTTATTACCAACAAATTGAATGTTTCTGATCCAGACAAGTCATTGAACCAGCATTTTGAATTGTGCCATTTCAAATTTCTAAAACACTGCTTTAATTGTTTCAAGGAAATTAATTAAACCTGCCCAATCTAATGCCTTTTTTTGTTACTGAAAGCTGAGACTCTTATCTCCACTTTAACCATCTCATACTTGAGAGTTGGTGCTTCTTTAGGGAAGGTTATGGACAAAATACAACAATTATTAAAATTAATTGCAGTATACAAGTCACCAGTAAAAACATTCCAAAAATGACAAGACCTAATAGGAATCTTGATATAAAAAAAAAATACATAATAATATCTTAATGCGGGAACTGACTTCCATGTTTTGTCTGTTCTGCCATTTTTCAGACGATGTGGAGTTTGAGGTGTCGTCTGATAGACGCACTGGCAAACCAGTTGCGGTGAAGCTGGTAAAAATCAAGGCAGAAATGTTGCCAGAAGAGCGAATTTCTGGGCAGGTGGGGCCTGACTTGCACGCCTCTCCTTTAACTGTGCTGCATGGTTTTATTCATCCAGTTAAGGAACACATTTTACTTTCGTGTTTTATTGTCCTTGTCCCATTAATGTCCATCATTGTTGGAGTTTCGAGCTCATTTTTAATCCATATTGACTTGGAAAATGCATAAATCACTAGTTTCTATTAAGAGTTACGTAGAAATCCTATTGACCGACCTGATGCTAATGCTTTGCTTTTATGTGGGTTCACAATGAGCTTGATTGTCTTTGTGTTTTGTGGTCTTGTTGGGAGAACTTTTCATCTTCATTTAATATACAGTTATGAGAGAAACAAATCTTGATTTGTTCTCAATATGAAGTGTCATTCATGTACTTAAAAAATATTTTTTGACTGGTTCCTTGAACTCCGATGTATAAGTCAAATATGAATGTTTCTTTTAATGATTTTTTAAAATCTGTCTTTAGTTCAGAACATGTTGCGCATCTGTGTTCAGGGACTTTCTCTTTAGCATTTAAACATGGTTAGTTGATCTTGTCTCTCACCAATGCAGCCTCTAACCCCGTCTTGTCTATTTGCATGTCCCCTTTTTTCAGGTAGTGTCAGCTATTCCTTCTCACTTGGACGGGAAGTCCGCACCTGGACAAGTGCCCACTGGCAGTGTGTGTTATGAGAGGAATGGAGTGAGTGTCATTTATTCTCATTTGCAGAGTTTCCTATACATTTTAGTAGGGCTGGGCGATAAATCGATAACGATATTTATCGCACAATATAGATTTTCTCGATAAACGATAACAAGAGTTTGATAAATGTTTGTTATAATGCGGCAAAGGCTGAACGAAAGCGCGCTAGTCATTTGAAGTGCGCCACTCAGAGCGTTTATCCACTCGGATCAAAGTTCAAAGAGCAGTGCGAGCTTCACTAGAGCAGATGTGTTCACTCGCTGACGCGACACTGAACAGCGCTGTGAGATCCAGTGTGAAGAGCTTGAATTCAGCGAGGAACACAAATGACTGTTTACACGCAGATGAAACAGCAGAAACACTGCGCAACGATACAGTCAGAAGACTTTTTAATCTACAAATCACCATCATTTACCATGGATTTACTGTAGTAGCACAAACTGCACCATGGTATTGTCAGAAATGTGGGTATTCATGTTGAATTTTATTATATTAACGTAGACATGTATTAAATATATTGAAGGAGGAGTAATGGAATATAATTACAATATTTTTTGTGATTTAAGCTATAGCATTTATGCATTTATAAATGTATTTAGACTTCTGTTTCTCAAATACCTACAAGCCATATTACATTTTTACCATGGTATTGAGGTGCTATATTTGTGGTTTTAACTGCGATTATCATGATCTAAATGTATGCTACAATAATTCAATTTCACCGTATAAAAATGAGATTGCTACCATTTTTACCGATATTACTGATTTTGATAATGAACACAAATCTACATCTGCATCCTAACTCAAGCTACTATCAAATGTGTATTTCTAAGAGACAAAATGTTAATTAAAATGTAATTAATATTATCAGGCAACACAAACTTGTCTCTTGATTTGAAACAATCACTCATTACTAGAACAGGCAGAGCTAAGAAATTATTTTTTTATATATTAAGATATATAATAGAATTTCAAAAACGAAGTGTTTGTCATGTTCTGACCATAAAGAATAGTTGATAACCACAATTAACCATCTGGTTTTTACAACTTTCACATTGGAGCAAAAATCAGCCATTAAACTTGAATGAAAAAAAAAAAATTTACATTTATCGTGATGATTATCGATATCGACTGATATGAAAAAAATATATAGATCATTTTTTGGCCATATCGCCCAGCCCTACATTTTAGACATTTGCTTGTCTTGTTTCACCCTTTTGAGACCATTTTGGGACAGATACAACTTAGCAAACTAATAGAAAAGCTGAGTGAATAACAGTTCTGGGGTTCATAAACTTGTCTTTATATGGCACTGATTGTGCCAGTTGCTGTTTCTGAATGTGTTTGTGGTTTGAATCTTCTCAGGAAGTGTTTTATTTGACCTACATCCCTGACGATGTTGAAGGCAACGTCACTTTAGATACTGGAGATAAAGTCAGTTTTTACATGGAGACCAACAAGCAGTAAGTGGATTTAATGTCTGATTGAAATGGGTATAATTTCAAAAGAGGAACTTTTTTTGAAATGGTTTATTTGTTTCAGTACTGGTGCTGTTAGTGCTCACAACATTGTATTGGTAAAGAAGAAACAGTCAAGATGTCAGGGAGTTGTTTGTGCTACCAAGGTAAGGATCTTATTCAAAGAACAGTTTGTAGTAGCTGTTTTTTTTTGTTTTGTTTTTATGTAGACTCTATACTAAGGAATAGTGATCTCCTGCCCTCTGGTGGGAAGGAGAATAGCAAAAGACTTCTCTTATCTCAACATTCTGCTAGAATAGTCAATAAAGGAAATTGTGTTTAGCAACATATATTCATAATGTTAAACAGTTTTTCAAATTTTTGCATTTGAACATTGCAATAACTTGTAATTCGGAACTTATCTGCAAATTTTGATTGTAAAATTCTAAAATTCAAAGTTACATATTGAATTTTAGTCGAGTGCCCATTTTTTTCCCCAAATATATTTTCAAATATATAATTTATTTTTGCTTTTCAAATCTATAATTGTCTTGCAGGAGGCCTTTGGATTCATTGAACGAGGGGATGTTGTGAAGGAGATCTTCTTCCACTACAGTGAGTTTAAAGGAGATCTGGAGGCTCTACAAGCTGGAGATGATGTGGAATTCACCATTAAAGAAAGAAATGTGAGCAATTGATGAAATGTCTTTTAAAAAGCAAAATATTTGTATTGATGTTCTATTGGTCTTTGGTTAGTAACTAATACTCACTGATAGGACACGAAAGATTTTACTATCAAACAGTGAAATTACTATTCATGAGATGCATTGCCGTTTCAAACAGCTGTATTGAGGTTGTTTCTGTGTGCGTTTCATAGGGCAAGGAAGTGGCCACAGATGTGAAACTGTTGCCTCAGGGCACTGTTATATTTGAGGACATCAGTATTGAGACTTTTGAGGGCACTGTCACCAAGGTTATTCCCAAGGTCCCCACCAAGAATCAGGTTTGTGAATCAGCTCTTTCCATTAATCTTCCAAGACTGTCTCAATAACATTACCATATAGATTCTGCTTGCATGTTAAATCGAATAAAACTCCATCTTGTCTCTCTCAGAATGACCCGCTGCCTGGGCGAATCAGTGCCAGAATTAATTTCACTGACAAAGAGCTGCTATTCGGCGAGAAGGACACCAAGGCCAAAGTGACGCTGCTGGAGGGCGACCATGTCCATTTCAATATATCCACTGACCGTCGGGACAAACTGGAGAGAGCAACAAATATCGACATCCTCCCTGACACCTTCCATTTCACAAAGGAGACTCGTGAAATGGTGCGACTGTAGAGCTTTGTCCTTGGGGTTGCTTGCAAGGCTGTTTTACTTTTTGCTAATGTTGGCTTTGTCTCTCTCCTTGTCTTCATGTGCAGGGTGTGATAGCTGCCATGCGTGATGGTTTTGGATTCATTAAGTGTGTGGACCGTGATGCCCGAATGTTCTTCCATTTCAGCGAGGTTCTGGAAGAGAGTCAACTGCACATTTCTGATGAAGTGGAATTCACTGTTGTCCCTGTGAGTTCCCAGATATCACCAGACCTGAACCACTTTTGTGTTCCTGTTTTTGTCTCAATTTATGTAAATGCTTTCTTTTTTCTTTTTTTTGTGATGGACTGTATTAGACTGTTTATCATCAGTTGGTCATCCGGTTCACTGGATATAAGAATCAGCTGTTGAAAAACCTAGATTGGTCCACTGCTTAAACTGTACACAAAGCAGAAGCCAATGTAAATTGTAATTGTGGTCTTACATTGACCAGCTTTAATCCCCTCTTTCCTCTCTCAGGACATGCTGTCAGCCCAAAGGAACCATGCCGTACGGATCAAAAAGCTGCCCAAGGGCACGGTGTCGTTCCACACTCAATCTGAGCTGCGTTTTGTGGGGATGGTGGAGAAAGAAGCTATGTGTGCTACCACCACCAAGAACTCCAGCCCCAGCAAGGGCAAAGAGAAGGTAGACTAAATCTTGACTTCCTGAATCTACACTACTGTTCAAATGTTTGGAGTTGGCAAGGTGGTTTTGAAAAGTATATGCTCACCAAGGCTGTATTTATTTGATCCAAAACGCAGCAAAACTGTAATATTGTGAAAGCTCAATAGAACAGAATTTATTTTAAATATAAATATTTTGTAACTTGTTTTTACTGTCATTTGATTAAATTAGTGTCATTGCTGAATATAGAAAATCATAATGACCCCAAACTTTTGAAAGGTAGTGTATATGCAGTTGATTTGAATTTATTTCTTCTTAAGAGTCCTTGAAGTACACATCTGTGGAAATTTGGTGTAGCACCATCAGTCATAATTATAAAGAGGGATTTTGAAAATGGAGGAGTTTAGTGTTTTTGTTTTTAATTCTGCTTTCCAAACTTTTATTTCCTGCATCTGCTTGTCTCCCTCTTAATTGATGCAAGCACAAAATACAGTAGCAGGCTTTTAGGTGCTATAAAATGCTACTATCTTTTGTCTGACCTTCTATTGTCTTTTTTGTTGTTCCTTTTTATTTGAACCATGCTCGTCTTCATTAGAAAAAAGACAAGGTAGGCTGCTGTTTTCTGCATGCTGCCTTTCCTCCACAGTGTAGACTGCTAGAACTTCTGACAACATGATCTTTAACATGTTGGAGGCAAATTGTTAAAGTACCCAGGATGATATTTTACTTACTGTAATTTTTAGTATAGTAAAAGTTTTATTTTTTATTTGATTCACCTCCAATTCAAACATTTTATGACTGGTTAAATTAAGTCACGGATGTGTCTAATCCTCCGTATTTCTCTTTTTTTTTTTTTTTTTTTTTTTTAAGGTAGAAATGAAAAGG